CCTGTGATGATACCCAACTTTTGCAATCAATCACAATTGTTAACCCATCCTAGCAATATTTTATAAAAAATACTTAGAAGCACCATATGTAGTCTCTCTCCCAAACATCTAGCCTGTGAGACTACCCAGTTTATTGGAAATACAGCTTATGATCCAAGCTAGCTGGGAGTTTATTACCTTTTCCCTAACGACTCCCACCTCATGTCCTCTGGTTTAACTACTCCACTTTTTTTCCTTTTGACCTATTTGGGGAGCCCTCTCTCATAGGAACTGGATTTTATTTCCTGTTTGGTGAATGGCTATATCTTACATTTCCCAGGAATTGGTGGGGCTTATGTACCATTGTAGCAGCAGTCCCATTGGTGACATTTCTTTCTTTTTTTAAAAAAAAAAATATTTTATTAATTTTTTACAGAGAGGAAGGGAGAGGGACAGAGAGTTAGAAATATCTATGAGAGAGAAACATGGTCAGCTGCCTCCTGTACATCCCCCAGTAGGTACATGCCCTTGACCGGAATTGAACCTGGGACCCTTCAGTCCACAGGTGGATGCTCTATCCACTGAGCCAAGCTGGTTAGGGTGACATTTCTTAAAACCACAGAAATGATATCATCAAGCAGCTTTTCTAATTTGGGATCCTTACTTGAACAGTCATTAACAACTTTTTCAAGGAAAAAGAGAGAGATAGTGTCCTCCCCACACCCCTGGCCTCACTTCAGGATTTGAAGATTGGGGTTGGGTCAAACACACCCATGACAACCCCCTTCTCCAGAGACCAGCCCTTGGTCATTCCATTATGCCAGGTTTACTTTGGTTTGCTGCGATTCCCCTGCTTGAAAGGTCTGTCCTTAACCTTACCCTCTTAAACTACCAGTTTTTTTTATTTATTTTTTTATTTTTATTTTTTATTTTTTTTAATTTTATGAAATCTTTATTGTTCAGATTATTACATTTGTTTCTCTTTTTTCCCCCTATAACTCCCCTCCTCCCAGTTCCCACCCCACCCTCCGCCCTCAATCCCAACCTACTGTCTTCATCCATTGGTGCACGATTTTTGTCCAGTCTCTTCCCGCATCCCCCACACCCCTTTTCCCCCCAAGAATAGTGAGTCCATTCCCTTTCTATGTCCCTGATTCTATTATAATCACCAGTTCATTCTGTTCATCAGATTATTTATTCACTTGATTCTTAGATTCACTTGTTGATAGATGCATATTTGTTGTTCATAATTAGTATCTTTACCTTTTTCTTCTTCCTCTTCTTAAAGGATACCTTTCAGCATTTCATATAATACTGGTTTGGTGGTGATGAACTCCTTTAGCTTTTCCTTATCTGTGAAGCTCTTTATCTGGCCTTCAATTCTGAATGATAGCTTTGCTGGATAAAGTAATCTTGGTTGTAGGTTCTTGGTATTCATCACTTTGAATATTTCTTGCCACTCCCTTCTGGCCTGCAAAGTTTCTGTTGAGAAATCAGCTGACAAGCGTATGGCTATTCCCTTGTAGGTAACTGAGTTTCTTTCTCTTGCTGCATTTAAGATTCTCTTTTTGTCTTTTGCTCTTGGTATTTTAATTATGATGTGTCTTGGTGTGGTCCTCTTTGGATTCCTTTTGTTTGGGGTTCTCTGCGCTTCCTGGACTTGTAAGTCTATTTCTTTGACCAGGTAGGGGAAGTTTTCTGTCATTATTTCTTCAAATAGGTTTTCAATATCTTGCTCTCTCTCATCTTCTGGCACCCCTATAATTCTGATGTTGGTACTCTTGAAGCTGTCCCAGAGGCTCCTTACACTATCTTCGTATTTTCGGATTCTTTTTTCATTTTGCTTTTCCAGTTGGGTGTTTTTTGCTTCTTCGCATTTCAGATCTTTGCCTTGATTCCTGTGCTCCTCTGGTCTGCTGTTGGGAGTCTGTATAATATTCGTTATTTCAGTCAGTGTATGCTTAATTTCTAGTTGGTTCTTTATCATAACATCGAGGGTCTCATTAGATTTGTTGAGGATCTCAATAACTTTATTGGCGGCTTCTAGACAGTTCTTGAGAGACCTTAAAAGTGTGGTTCTGAACTCAATATCCTCCATTGACAGTTTAGTCCTATTTCTTTGTCTCCGCATTTTTTATGCTTTCTTGGTGCACCCCCTAGTGGTCTTTGTGCACAGTCTTGTTGTAGTTAAGCCTTGATTGTTGTATTTAATACTAGGGGGATTTGACCTCCAGGCCAACTGGCTGTGAGAATCAGCTGTGTCTGCAGTGGGAAAACTTCTGTCCTCTAGGGAGGTGCTAATCTAGCCTTTGCATGAGGCTATCTGGCAAATGGCTCTGTGCAGGGCTTGGGCGGGGCAGGTGGGTTGCACGGGATCCACAGAACGGGTGGAGGGAGCAGTTATTGCTGCTCTCAGTCCCATCCCCAGAGGCTCTGCCTCTCAGAGTCCCAGCAACTGCTGCAAACCTCGGAGAGAAAGCTGCCCTCGTGTTCCGACCAATGCCAGACAGTCCTGCTTCTCCCGTTTGAGTCTGGGTCCCTAGAGACTCTCCCAGAACTGGAGCTCAGAATCTGAGACTCCCTCCCGATTGAAAACGACAACTACACCCTCAGCTACCAGCCCACTCCGGCGTACCTCCGCACCTTTATATTTTCCGCACTGTGCCTCCTCTGAGTCTCGTATGCTGTTCTCTTTCCTTCTAGTTGAAGAATTTCCCCTCAGCCAGTCTTCCTGTGGTTCTGGGCGATGTCCGTTCCGTCTTTTAGTTGTATTTTGAAGTGGTTTTTCGAGGCAGCTAACTCCGGTGTTTACCTATGCCACCATCTTGGTTTCTCCTTAAACTACCAGTTTTGGAAGGCTGTGGTAGGGGCAATTGAAGCCCAATAGGAATCATTAAGCCCCTTAGCATCTGTGGTCCTTCAGAATCAACAGGTCCTAAACATACTAATAGCAGAAGTAGGAGGGACATGTGCTCTGATAAATGAGACTTGCTTTATGTGGATTAACACATCATCACAAGTAGAGTAAAAGTCTTAATATTATAAAGAAAAATGTCAAGCTCACTGATGATCTAAAGGCATAAGCAGAATCAGGTCCTTGTTGGCTGAAATAGAAGATCAAATCAAATTTGGAAGACAAGGTAGAAATAAATACAAAATTAAAGCAGCAAATAGAAAAAATAATAAAAAAGCAGGAAGATAGCCTAAGGGAGCTCTGGGACAACATAAAAAGTAACAACATACAGGTCATAGGAATACCAGAAGGAAAAGAATGCAAGCAATGAGCAGAGAACCTGTTTGAAGATATAATGACAGAAAACTTCCCCAACCTGGTGACAGAAAATGTCACACAAGTTCTGGAGACACAGAGAGTCTCAATCAAGGTAAACCCAAAGAGACCCACACCTAGACACATCAGACTTAAATGGAGAATATTAAAGACAAAGAAAGAGTCTTAAAAACAGCAAGAGAGAAAGAAAATTACCTACAAATGAGATTTCATTAGAATGTCAGCTGACTCCTCAATAGAAACACTTCAGAAGGGAGTGGCATAAAGTACTCAAAGTAATGAAAAGGAAGAGAATAAATTCAAGACTACTGTATCCAGTAAAATTATCATTTAAAATTGAAGGTGAAATAAAAAAAAACTTTCTAGGAAAAAGAAGTTAAAGTAATACATTATCCCTAAACCAGTAATGCAAGAAATGTTAATGGACTGCTTTAAGGAGAAGAAAAGGAGAGAGAGAGAGAGAGAGAGAGAGAGAGAGAGAGAGAGAGAAAGAAAGAGAGAGAGAATCATAGGCATAAAGAAAATAAAATTGGCAATAAATAAATACCCTTCAATAATAACCTTAAATGTAAATGGATGAAGTGCCCCAGGCAAAAGACATAGGGTGACTGAATGGATAAGAAAACATAACCCATATATATGCTGTCTACAAGAGACCCAACTCAGAACAAAAGATACACATAGACTTAAAGTGAAAGAATGGGAAAAAATTATTCCACGTAAATGGAAAGAAAAAAAAAATGCTGGTGTAACAATACTCATAGGAGTCAAAATAGACTTCAAAATGAAGGCCATCACAAGAGACAAAAAAGGCCACTATATAATAGAAAATGGAATGATTCAATAAGAAAATATAACCCTTGTAAACATATATGTACCCAATACAGGAGCAACCAAATATAAAAAAGAAACTCTTCATGGACTTTAAGGGAGAGACAAAACAGCTTCTCCTCAGTACCTTCTTGCACATGTGATCTTTCCTGTGCAGGATGCCCCAGTGAGTGAGACAACATTCCCCCCTGTGGGTGCATGCACTTTAGGCACAATCATTCTTCATCATCACAATCATAAGAAGGATCTTTCGCAGCTGAACTGTTTAAAGCTCATACAGATTAGTTCTAACTCTGCCTAATTAATCCATTCAGACATCTCATAAAAATTGATAGTCCATTATGTATTTGAAAGCAAAACAGCCACTACATCTTGCAAAGGTTTCCTTCCCATAACCTAAACATCTTCCATATATTTAATCATTTTTCCTGAATTAGAGTTTGGGCATCCTGCAGATTCTGGAGATTATACCTTACAAATGTTGATTCCCAGAGTTAATACAGATTTGCTGTGCGCAGTGAATTGCTGGGTATAAGAAAGAGATTATAAGATCATTTCTGTGGAAATTACTATCTTTACAGACACACTAAAACATGGTCTAAAATTGTTCTTGGCTCTATTCACAAGTTCAGTGCCCAAAATATCCAACTCTAACACTTCACTCAATTTTTTAAATAAGCATTTTACGAGAGAGAGAAGAGAGAGAGAGAGAGAGAGAGAGAGAGAGAGAGAGAGAGAGAGAGAGAGAGATCCATTTACTTTCCACACATGTATGCATTCATTGGTAGATTTTGTGTGTGCCCTGATCAGGGATCAAACCTAAAAGCTTGGTGTACCAAGAGAAATTTCCCACCAACTGAGTCACCTGGCCAATACTCACTTCACTCATTTTTAAACTTACCTCTTTCTTTGGGATTCTCAGAAGTTACTTGATAAAACAAAGTTGTCAGCATGACCACCATGATTAGAAGGGTAGCTAACTTTTTCTTGCGTAACTTAGTCATTATGATGTAAAATGTGGAAAACAGAATCTTGAGAAGTTTTTTGCTGACTCCCACTTTGAAGAAAATAGTGTTTTTCTTCTCTTCTTTCCTGTAAGAAAACAGGAGAGTAAACACCCAGATCAGTTTTCCTCAGAAGTGATGCCCACCTCTGTCTGGGACACGGGAAGATGCTGCCAGGGCTTGGTCTGCAATGGGGAATTGAGAACTGCATTGGGGCAGGAGGAGCTGCTCTCCTGGCTCAGGTGTGGGCTTTGGGCAAGGTGACCTCACCTGGCAGCACCAGCCCATGGCAGTGAGAGAAGCCCTGTCTGATCCCAGGCCTGCTCTCATCCTCATCTTTCTTCCTGAAGGAGGTATAAGAATCTGGAAATAATAGGGAAGATTTCAGATCTTTAGAAGGTTTGTCTGAATGAATTCTTCCATGGGTTTTGAGTGAGTGATTGAAATCAAGAATGGGGTGCAGGGTGTTCTCATCTAACAGGAAATAAATGTCCCTCATGGAAGGAGAACTGAGGAATGTAGGGATGATAGAAGGACAAAGAAGGGATCCAGAACCAATAGTAATTGAGCCAGGCAAGTTGTCAGGATCAGACTAAGATTACAGCCTCATATTTCAGATTGGAGAGGTGTTAGGTTTGATCAAGCCATTGAATTGATACCCCTCCCATGGGAACTGGCTTTTCAGGTCATTTCACTGTGGACATTCCCTTTGCTGAGACCACATTTCACTTGAGGTGACCACATTCCATTATCTCCCCACCGGGTATGCATAAAGAAGTCTCCACCCAGAAAAAGCCCGCCAAAAGTCCTTTAAAAGCCACTGACTCCCGTCACTGGGTGCTGGAGCCATCCAGGCTCAGCCACCTGGTGTGGGGATGATTGAATAGATTCGTAATCCCCCACCATTCTGGTCTCCTGTGTTCCTCCTTCAGCGAACACACATTTGGTGCTGGAAACCTGGGAGGGTTCCAGGAAGATAGGGACCCCAGCCTGGGTCCAGACAGAGGTGTGGAAGGGAAGGCCACTGGAAATCAGACTGCAGTCTGGTCTCTCCGGGTCAGACCTCAGCCAGGCCAGCAAGGCTGCCCTCTGGATCCAGTTTAGAGCTCCCAGACCTCCTGGGACTGGCCACCGAAGAAGCTGCCTAGGCCCTGACAGGGCCCCCACAGACTTACATCACCAGGACAGAGACTCAGGTAACGACTGTGGTGGCTCCTTTTTAATTGACACTGGGCCCACTTATCCTGCCCTCTCCAAATTCTTTGGGACCCTTGTCCACTCCTCTGGATTAGTCTCACAGCCACTAGCCACCGCACCTCTACACTACACCTTACTCAATACCCCCATTCACACTTTTCTCATTCTACCTCGGTGCCCGGCCAGGGCTACTATGCATTCCCTCATAAAACCCAGTTGTTCCAAACCACAGTCACCTACCTCAGTTTCACTCTCTCACCCCACAAGTCAGAGCCATTCATTGGACTGTAAATGCCATATCTCCTCCATGACTGTCCCCTTCTATGAACAAGAAATTTTCTCCTTCCTCAGGCTCACTGGGTTCTCTTGCCTCCAGGTTCACAATTTTAGTCTTCTTGCAAAGCTCCTCTATGACATGACATGGCGAAGGGACCCCCTCACTGAGCCTTTACATCCCAAAACCAACATTCTCTCCTCTTTAATGCTCTGAAAACTGCTCTGACTTCAGCACCTTCTCACCTCCCCCCTGCAGCTCCCCTATTCCACCCTTCCCACAGGACAACTTTCTTTACTGCACATGCTTTCTTAACATCTAGCTGTTATCAGAAGCTGAGCTTATTATCTCCCAAACCTTAGCATGCTATCTCTAAGGAAAAAATCCGGCCGTTTTGAATCCAAGCGGCTAGAGGCCTGGGAACAGGCTGCAGGGCCTGCTCCCTCCTCCCCCTGCCTTCCTCCAGCCTCATAGAGCTATTCATAATGTTCCAAAGTCTTTATTGGAAATCTTGTCCACTTCTCACCACACTGAGCAACTTAGATTATTGGGACCCTTGTCCACTCATCAGTCTCCATTATGGGAGTTGATGGATTAGTCTCACAGCCATTAGCCACTGCACTTAAAGTCTAAATACTTAAAGTCATTGAGGCATTGCTGGGTTAAATGATAAGCATTTAAATATTTTAAAATAGCACACTGAAACATTGATTACTAGACACGTTTTAATTCGCCCGCTCTTAGTTTTTATTACAGAAGGTCTCTTATACTTTACTAGAGGCCCGGTGCACAAAAATTTGCACCGGGTCTGTGCCCTCTCGCAGTCTGGGACCCCTCGGGAGATAACGACCTGCTGGCTTAGGCCTGCTCCCGGGTGGCAGAGGGCAGGCCCAATCCCTAGGTGCAGACCCTGGTCTGGCTCAGAGCAGGGCTGATTGGGGAGTTGGGGCACTGCCCCCTGTCATGCACAGAGCAGGGAGATTGGGAGGTTGTGATGCCACCCTCAGTCACACTCACGGTTGGGCCGATTGGGGGGTTGGGGCACCACCCCCTGTCACACTCAAGGCAGGGTCGATGGGGAGCTTGCGGCGCCACCCCCTGTCACTCACAGAGCAGGGCCCATCAGGGGGATTGGGGCTCTGTACCCTGTCACGCACAGAGCAGGGCCGATCAGGGGGTTGGGGCACCACCACTCTCACACTCAGGGCAGGGCCGATGGGGAGGTTATGGCTCTACTCAGTCACACACAGAGCAGGGCCTGTGTGTGTGTGTGTGTGTGGGGGGGGGGGGGTTGGGGAGCTCCCCTGTATCAGGCACAGAGCAGGACTGATCAGGGGGTTGGGGCGCTTTCCCCTGTCACGAACAGAGCAGGGTGGATAGGGAGGTGTGGCCCCGGCCCCTGCCACACACAGAGCCGCAGGGCGATCAGGGGGTTTGGGCACTGTCCCCTGTCACGCTGATCCCGGTGCTGGGAGGCCTCATGGCTCCGCTGATCCCGGTGCTGGGCAGCATATTACCCTTTTACTATATAGGATAGAGGCCTGGTGCATGGGTGGGGCCAGCTGGTTTGCTCTGAAGGGTGTCCTGGATCAGGGTGGGGGTCCCCACTGGGGTGCCTGGCCAGCCTGGGTGAGGGGATGATGGCTGTTTGCAGCTGGTCACACACCCTTCAGGGTAGGGGTCCCCACTGGGGTGCCTGGCCAGTCTGGGTGAGGGGCTGAGGGCTGTTTTCAGGCTGGGGGTGACTGAAGCTCCCAACTGCTCCTTTTTTTCTTTTTATTCTGGGCCAGCTTTAGCTTTGAGGCTTGGCTCCAGCTCTTAGGCCTCCGAGGCTAAAAGTAGGTTTCTGGCCTTTGCTTACAATGTTGCAAATCTGCTGGCTGAAGTCCAGTGGTTTTGTTACAGTTTCTTAAACTGCAGGCTCAGAGGCCTGCAACTGCAGGCGGGGAACGTTGGTTTCCTCCGTCACTGAGGCAAGCAAGCCTCATGTTAGTTTCAATCTGCCTGGCTGCCGGCCACCATCTTGGCTGACAGTTAATTTGCATATCTCGCTGATTAGCCAATGAAAAGGGTAGCGGTAGTACGCCAATTACCATGTTTCTCTTTTATTAGTGTAGATTGAATGTATATTTTCTTGAAAGTAAGAGTGTGCTTAAAGTGTGTTGATAAATGTCAATCTAAGAAATGTTGGCTGTTTACTTTTTGGTGATCATTGAAAAATTAAGGTTTCTAAGAGTGAAGAATTCTAATACATTTTAAAGAAAAAAGAAAGAGGGAGGAGGAACCAAGATGGCGGCATGGCTAAACACCGGAGTTTGCTGCCTCGCACAACCACTTCAAAAATACAACTAAAAGACGGAACGGACATCACCCAGAACCACAGGAAGGCTGGCTGAGGGGAAATTCTACAACTAGAAGGAAAGAGAAAAGCATACCGAGACTCAGAGGAGGCGCAGTGCGGAAGTCAAATACTAAGGTGCGGAGGTGTGCGCAGAGCAGACTGGCAGCTGAGGGTGTGGTTGTCTGTTTCAATCCGGAGGGAGTCTCAGACTCTGAGCTCCAGATCTGGGCGAGTCTCTGAGGACCCAGACTCAAACGGGAGAAGCGGGACTGTCTGGCATCGGTCGGAACTCGAGGGCAGCTTTCTCTCCGAGGTTTGCAGCAGTTGCTGGGACTCTGAGAGGCAGAACCCCTGGGGAAGGGACTGAGAGCAGCCATAACTGCTCGCTCCACTGGCCCTGTAGATCCCCTGAGACCTGCCCCGCCCAAGCCCTGCACAGAGGCATTTGCCGGATAGCCTCAGGCAAAGGCTAGATTAGCACCTCCCTTGAGAACAGAAGTTCTCCCACTGCAGACACAGCTGATTCTCACAGCCAGTTGGCCTGGAGGTCAAATCCCCCCCAGTATTACCTATGATAATCAAGGCTTAACTACAACAAGACTGCGCACAAAGACCACTAGGGGGTGCACCAAGAAAGCATAAAAAATGCGGAAACAAAGAAACAGGACACAAATATCAGAAATGGAGGATATAGAACTCAAAACCACACTTTTAAGGTCTTTCAATAATTTTCTAGAAACTGCCAATAAACTTAATGAGATCTCCAAGAAATCTAATGAGACCCTCGATGTTGTGATAAAGAACCAACTAGAAATTACGCATACACTGACTGAAATAACGAATATTATACAGACTCCCAACAGCAGACCAGAGGAGCGCAAGAATCAAGTCAAAGATTTGAAATGCGAAGAAGCAAAAAACACCCAACCGGAAAAGCAAAATGAAAAAAGAATCCAAAAATACGAAGATAGTGTAAGGAGCCTCTGGGTCAGCTTCAAGCGTACCAACATCAGAATTATAGGGGTGCCAAAAGATGAGAGAGAGCAAGATATTGAAAACCTATTTGAAGAAATAATGACAGAAAACTTCCCCTACCTGGTGAAAGAAATAGACTTACAAGTCTAGGAAGTGCAGAGAACCCCAAACAAAACGAATCCAAAGAGGACCACACCAAGACACATCATAATTAAAATGCCAAGAGCAAAAGACAAAGACAGAATCTTTAGGGAATACCCATATGACTATCAACTGATTTCTCAACAGAAACTTTGCAGGCCAGAAGGGAGTGGCAAGAAATATTCAAAGTGATGAATACCAAGAACCTACTACCAAGATTACTTTATCCAGCAAAGCTATCATTCAGAATTGAAGGTCAGATAACGAGCTTCACAGATAAGGAAAAACTAAAGGAGTTCATCACCACCAAACCAGTATTATATGAAATGCTGAAAGGTATCCTTTAAGAAGAGGAAGAAGAAGGTAAAGATACTAATTATGAACAACAAATATGCATCTATCAACAAGTGAATCTAAGAATCAAGTGAATAAATAATCTGATGAACAAAATGAACTGGTGATTATAATAGAATCAGGGACATAGAAAGGGAATGGACTGACTATTCTTGGGAGGGAAAGGGGTGTGGGGGATGCGGGAAGAGACTGGACAAAAATCGTGCACCTATGGATGAAGACAGTGGGTTGGGATTGAGGGCGGAGGGTGGGGTGGGAACTGGGAGGAGGGGAGTTATAGGAGGAAAAAGAGAAACAAATGTAATAATCTGAACAATAAAGATTTAATTTAAAAAAAAGAAAAGAAAAAAGAAAGAGCAGGTCTGTACAAATTGCTGAAGGTACTTAATGGAAGGTCTGAAGCATGGTTATGCAATTTTGAAGGACATAGAAAGAAGGTTTGAAGGCTAATTTGAAAGTGTGAAATTTGTGAAGGTTGAGTATGTAATGAAAAGGAAAAGAGAAATGTTGAAAGGAAAAAATTAGTTCTAAAGTTAACTATTTACAAGAATTGTAAAAGGGCCATTTTACTCTGAGCAAGAAAGCCTGAGGCTTCAGCCCCTAAGCTCGGCAGGACAAGGTTGCTGAGTAGTTCTTAAGCTAAAGCAGAATATGCAGCAGCAGAATTTTAAGACAGGAGCACACATAGTGCCTCAGACCCACTCCCAGCCTGCTCTTCAGATTGGCTTGTGGGGAGGGGGTGGCATCTGTACTTCATGGGTCACATGTATAGGTTTGCTTACTTTGCTTTTAAATAAAGGAGCATACTTTAGTTACTTGGTAAGTTAGCTTTTCACAATATAATCAAGATCTCATATAAACTCATTCATATGGGAAGCCAATATTTTTTTTAGAATATATATATATATTTTTTATTTTTTACAGAGAGGAAGGGAGAGGGATAGAGAGTTAGAAACATTGATGAGAGAGCAACATCCATCAGCTGCCTCCTGCACACTCCCTACTGGGGATGTGCCCACAACCAAGGTACATGCCTTTGACCGGAATTCAACCTGGGACCCTCGAGTCCACAGGCCGTAGCTCTATCCACTGAGCCAAACCGGTTAGGGCAGAAGCCAATATTTTATGAGCAAATGATTCTAGTAAAGTCCAAAGTAAAGTTTGCATACATATGCAAATGAGCAGTAGCCAAAAAGAATGCTGTTTAGAAGTAAATTTAAGCTTAAAAAGAAGGAATTTAAAAATCTCTTCCGCTACTGTTTACAGAATAAACTAAAAGTTATTATTCAAGCATTAAATCTCACCACTAATGAGACACTGTAAGTAAAAAGAAAGTTACTTTTACTTGAGGTGTATGCATTGCAATATTGACAAGCATGTCTCTCTCCTACCTGTTTTTCTGGGCAGCAACCAAGATGATTGCTCAGTTTGAAAGAAAGTAAAAGTCTTTAATATAACAATTTAAGGTTTAAAAGTAAAAACAGCAAGGGGCAAAACTGGGAAAACAAGGACCTCATCCCCAGGGTAACCTCCAGATAATCCCTCTCCTAATGACCCTGGGCATCACAGCAGGGGTGGGTCTGCCATTGGTAGCTTAGCCACTGCTCTACCTATTGTCAAATCCTGTTTCAGGACCTGCAAAACCCTGTGGGTGCCCAGCAAGGGGCAAAACTGGGCAAACAAGAACCTCACCCCCAGAGTAACCTATTCTCCCCTTTCATATCACTAGTGAGGCAACTGAGACCCCTAATCTCCCTCCTAAGGTAACATCTAGGTGTCAGTTGTATTTCAGCTCCAGACTCAGAAAAGCAGCCAAACTCGACCAGTGACTCTGTGGCAGCCTCAGGACCAGCGTTTACCTCCCAACTCACTCAGCAGAAGTGCCTTTGAGAAGGCACCAACCAGTCTCTTGGGAAATCATGCTGCTGCCCCCCTCGACCAGCCCACCACTGTCAAAGTCCATCCCCTGTGATCTTGCTGTCCTGGCTCAGCAGGAAGTAGGTACAGAAGATATGACCTTGGTCCCTAGTCATAAAACAAAAAGGCTGGAATGTTGGCTTTGATTGAGCAGTTGAATTGATACCCCTCCCCCAGGAACTGGCTTTTCAGGTCATTTTCCATTCATCACATTTCACTTGTGACCACATTCCATTACCTCCCCTCTGGGTCTGCATAAAGAAGTCTCCTCCCAGAAAACACCCACCAAGAACCCTTTAAAATCTGCTGACTCCTGTCACTGGCTGCTGGAGCCATCCAGGCTCAGCCACCTGATGTGTGGATGATCGAATTAATTTGTAATCCCTCACCATTCTGGCCTCCTGCTTTCCTCCTTTGGTGACCTAACAAGAGGATTACAGCTTTTCAAAAGAATTCTTAAGGTTTTCTAGGGAGATAAATAAATTAGAGCAAAAAAAGGCAAATCACGAGCATAAAAGATGCTAAATTTAAGACATTTTCCTAGATTCTTTGTTATTTCTACTGACCCTTCCCAGAGTCTTCATAAACACACACACACACACACACACACACACACACACACACACACACACACAGAGACAGACCCCCCAGCACTGCTCTTTATCCCATGATAAAAATTTCATCTTAAACTTACCTGGATGAACCATTAATAGAAAAATATCAGTTTCTCAGGCTAAATCTGACATATTTCTTCTCTGGGACACTGAAGCTTGGCACCGGGAGTGGAGGCTTCAGTCAGACCTGGTTGTCTTCCTCCCTGTGCCGTGACCAGCAGCGTGGAGAGAAGCACAGGAAAGGGGACTCTAGACTGCACTTTGTTCCTCTTCGTTCATGTGATGGTGATAAATGTTAGGTTAGGTGGCTCAGGAGGCGGCGCAAGAAATAGAGTCCAGTGAATCAGAAAAGAAAGGAAAGGAAAAGGTTTATTCTGCTGCAGGGGATGGGCCGGGGGGGGGGTGGGGTGGGGGGAGGGTATGTGGATTAAGGGAGAAGAAGCCTGTATCTGTGTCTGGCACCTTGATCTGTGAGAAATTCCAGGGAAGTCCATTATCTTGTCATGTCTGCATGTATCCATCCTGGGCCCTCTCCGACCTAACAATAAAGACCTCTCATGACTGTAAAGCCAGGTGTTCAATCTGCATATTATTTATCTGCTGATATGAAAACACACATCTCTGAAGAATGGCTGCCCTTCTGCCTGCTTCTATTTCTTTTCCTTTCATTTTCAAGATGACAGTATATAGTAGAGATTTAAGTGAAACATTCTCATACCAACTTCCCAGATTTATGTATTTATCTTGTTCAGAGTTTGGGATGTGTACAGGCTACTCCACAGTGTTTTATCATCCAGACTGATTGGTCCTATAGTTTATGGAAAATATAGCCAGAGTACTGAGGGGAGCTGAGGTTTGCTTTTACATCTCCAGCCCCACGTTTGCAGTCTGTCCGTGCAAAACCTAACGCAGACACTCACAGTCTTGGAGAGCGGGCTTTCTCCTGGACACGCTGTGCACGGAGTGCCCACAGAGCCGAACGGGAACTTTAATGGTGGCTCTAGGTGAGAGCACAGGGGACACCCACACTGATGTGCTGTGAGGTCATTTGCACTCAGTTTTATCTCCGACACAGGAGATGAACTAAATCCTAGGGAAATAACCTGGGTTTACCAGAGCTCTCCTGATCGATCTCCTGATGCCATGGATTTGGTGTCTGATTGAGGCCGCAACTGGCCGTCATTTCTCTTGGTCCCCTACACAGATGCCAGCATCATGCACTTCTTTGGTCTTAAAGAAGTTTGTTTCATGTTTGAGAATACCTGACAGGAGCCTCATTCTCAGGTTGGAAATTTGGATGACTTAGGGAGAAAAGTTACAAACCCACCCCCTCTTCCCATCCACCAGATTTAAGAAAACATGGGACCCTAACTGGTTTGGCTCAGTGGATAGAGTGTCAGCCTGCAGACTGAAGGGCCTCAGGTTTGATTCTGGTCAAGGGCATGTACCTTGGTTGCAGGCACAACCCCAGCGGGAGGTGTGCAGGAGGCAGCTGATCAATGTTTCTCTCATCGATGTTTCTAACTCTCTATCCCTCTCCCTTCCTCTCTGTAAAAAATCAATAAAATATCTTTTTTTAAAAAAGAAAGCACGGGTACAGATACTCTGCAGGTGAAAAATGCAGAACTGTATGTTTGGAGGCTTTTATTTTGCATTAATGGGCAAGATTAAGAACAGAATTGAAAGATCTTGCATGCAAAAGGAAATCAGAAGGGGAAGTTGCTCCCCAAACTTCTTTACTGCTGTGGGGAATTTCAGGGACTTGAAGGAAATTACGGCCTTCAGCTGCACAGACAGCAGGATGCCCAGGTGCTGTTTTCCACTACTCTGAGCCCATGAGCCTAAAAATTGCTAATAAGTCTTACTACCGGCCAAATTGCCAGCTCCATGACTAATATAAAAAATATAAATAATAAATAAAATAAGCCAAAAAGTAACAACCATTAAAAGGACGAGGCATTTCTACCAAGTAAACCGGCTGTAATTGAAGCTGCTCAGGTGGGAGCCTTGGCCATTCCTAACTGAAGGAGTGGGGGTTGGATTCCCTGCCATGAACCTTTATGGAGGCTGAAACAGGGTCAGTAATGAGAAAGGCATTTCTGGAGTTCCTTCACTGTACATCCTGACCTTGCCTGGAAAAGACAATGGCGTCAGATTCCCGAATTTGAGCCTGAGCCTCACTCAGATGCATCAATTCTCTGGGCAGCTTTCCTTGAATTGCAGTTGTTGGCACCTGCTGAGTTATATTTTCTTTTGAGACAATGAGTTTGCATTTGTGTTGCCTTCAGTGTGGACTCCGTGGTCCCATCTGTTGGTGCCAGACCTGCAGTTGAGTCCTCACACCTCTCAGTGGGGCAGGAGATGTACCCTGAGATCTCCGGGTACATCTGTTTCTTATAAAACCTATTTCCAACAGTAGAATTAAATCCACATCCAATCAGGAAGCCATGAATTGTCTCTTGTAATTCTCAGAGAGCACTGCCTTGATGGCAAGCTTGTTTGAAATGTGTGAGTTTATACTGTTCACACAGTGTGAGACAGGGGGAAAACCTGGTAAATGCATTTTGAACAAATGAGGAGTTGAACACATGAATTGCTTGTCCCCTTATACTTATTGTTTATATCATTCTATTGTCACCTATATTTTCAAAGTAATTCATAATAATCCATGCATCTTCATTTCCCAAAGTTTGCTAATTTTTCATCTCCATTTGCTCTCCGTGAATTCTCTGCTGAGGATAATAAGGAGCCTGTCTCCTGTTCTCTCACTTTTCCCTCCCTTCCTGATATATTGTTGCTCTTGAACATATTGCTTTAAATAATGTGAAAAAAGTTCATGTGAATGTTTTTATTATCTTGAAAAGAATTATCATAGCAATAAATTTTCCACAACCAATAACTTAGTAAAGATATATGGTTATAAATTGGTTAACCTTTGATATTTAGTCCATGGGTTGAGTAGTCAGAGATATTGTTTTAAATATTGGCTGAGCAATTTGTTGCAGACACTTTTTACGTGTTTTAGTGTTGAAAATTGAGAAAATCTTTTAAGGTTTATAAAAATATAGATGAAATATTAGTACATTTCAGAGATGAAAATGGCACACAAGTAAAATTAGAGAAAAGGAGACTTGAAAAGAATCTAACAAATGAATAAGCAGGTCTGAGGGACTTTCAGAAAGACAGAAGAGCATATATTTGGGGAGAGCCGACACAAAGTTGGGAGATGATTTTGGCATTGATGTGTATAACATTGGCCTTTGTTAATAACTGAACAGAAAATGGGCGACTCTGGGCTCAGTCTGGGGTTGTGACAATTAGACACAAACGTCATGGGATATGGCAGTATGTGAGCTCCCCTCTCAAAAAAGCCAAATGGTGACAAACCCAGACCATAATGAGAGGCTAAATCGCAACTGGAACAATTTCTACAGTCTACCTGCACAAAAATTTCCACGGTTCCTCACACTCTTTCATCATCCCAGACACTCAGAGATGTCCCTCTTCTCCAGACCCGCTGCTCTCAGGATGTCGCTCCCAGGTTTTAGGGATTTGGTCTCCAGAGGCAATCACTCTCCAGAGGTAACAACCTATATAAATTGGGACATAATCAGTATATAACATTCTGTGTGCAGATTAGTCATCATAACTGCAGCCCGAGTGAGCATGCTAACCCCAGGTGTGATGGTGTTCTGCCTCGCAGGCCTTCTCCACCAAGCGTGCTCTGTGCTGGCTTCAATCCTGGGCTCAGATGTCACCTCTGTTCTTCCCCAGCCACAAGCGCTGCAGGTGCCACCTTTCCCGTACCTTCTGTCTCTCACTCTCTGCTCTCCTTTCTACATAAGCATATGTGTTGTTAGCTCCCATTTTTAAACAGAGCACAATTAACAAATAATTGAGAAGAGGCACAAACTAAATTTCTTCCTTTATTCTCTACTAGATTCTGCCCTAACTTTCGTCCCTTTAAGCCAGTGTGTCTTTGGAAGTGTGGTGCCCCCAGCCTCTTCACCTACCTAATATCCATTCTCACTCCCACCCCCACGTCTGCTGAAAGTGCCTCAGCCAATTCCTTCATGTTCCACTCCCACATTTTTTAGCCTTGAACTTCCACAGGATTGACATACACGGTCATTAAGTTTATGCCACTCTTGTCTTGTTAGATTTCCCAGAAAGAGTGCACTTTTCAGCCTCTGTGGGTCTCCATGGGCCAATCACAGGGTCTTTCTCTTCAGCCCAGTCCTTACTCTCCTCCCCACACCTCACGTCCCTTGACCTGGGCCTGCAAGCTTGCTCTTTACTTCTCTCACCATGTGATTTACACTGTTAATATTATCCAGTCTCCTGACTGCAGTGATCACCTATGTGAATGTATTAGGCTTTGCTGCTGAGGTTTTGAGAGCTATATTAACTTCCTCCAGCAGGTCTCCTCATGGTCATCTTACTTGTAGCTCAAATTCGGCACATGCAAAGCATGGTCTCTCCTCCAAGTTCTCCTGTGGCTGTCATCCCGTTCTCAGAGAATGTCAAGTCTTCCACTCATATGCTATTTCACACTTTCCATTCTTACTGATCATGATTATGTCAAGGAAGCATTTTAATAACAGGAAAATTTTATTTTTACTTTTAAAAATTACAATAGACTAACATTTTTATTGTAATTTCAGAGTGTTGTTGCTGGGAATATGAGTAGCTTTGTTTGTTATTTTAATCCTATCTACTCAATCTGATATTGCCACAGTCATAAAAGTGCAAATACTCATTTTCTTACATGTTTAAAATACTGCTATGTTGGAAAACATGTTTCAAAGCTGGCAAATATGTATTGTTGATGGCCCTTTCTTTCCAGGAATATTTTTTCCCCAAGCACCTGAAAACTTTAGAAAGTTTACTCTGTCCCCCTCTTCTCCCTGCCCTTGCTTGCTAGCCTCCTTCACTGCCCTACAGTTAGCTAGTAAATGCCCCTTGGGAAAATATAACCTTGAGTTTGGGAGCCTCTAGTTTCTAACTCATTGTTCCACATTCAGCTGTCCACTGCTCTGTGGTTGTACTGTTCCCACGGTCATCCCTCCGCTGGGGCCCTGCCCCTTGCCCTAGTCAGAGGGGGTGGGGGTGTGATCGTGCTAATGAATCAGCTCATCTAGTTCATCAAGTCAATATTTCTTCCTTAGATTTTTTACTTCTTTAAATATATGATTCTTTTTCAATTCAGTTATTTTTTAAGTTGTTGGATCATGAGTACTATCCTGCTGTTAGCCAACACGTTCAACTTTAAAATACAAGTTAATTATGAAGAATGGTTTTTTCTTCCTTGTTTCCTATCTTTTTATTATGAAATATATTGAGGTAACATTGGTTAATAGGATTACATATGTTTCAAGTCTACATTTCTATGATACAAGATCTGTATATTGCATGGTGTGTCCACAACACAAAGTCAAATCATCTCCCATCAACTCCTTCCCTCTGGCAACCCACACTGCTATGTGTGACTATGAGTTGCAGTTTTATATCTCAACTAGTGGCCCAGTGCATGAAATCGTGCAGGGGGGGAGTGTCCCTCAGTCCAGCCAGCACACTCTCCAATCTGGGACCCCTCAGGGGATGTCCCACTGCTGGATTAGGCCTGATCAGGTCTAAACTAGCAATCGGACATCCCTCTTACAGTCCGGGACTACTGGCTCCTAACCGCTCCCCTGACTGCCTCCCTGAGCTCCCCTAACCACTCTACCTGCTGGCCTACTTGCCCGCAACTGCGCCCCCGCCAGCCTGCTCACCCCCAATTGCCCCCCGACCACCCTGATCACCCCCAAGTGTACCCACGACTGTGCCCACTACCAGTCTGTTTGCCCCTACTGTCCTCCCCTGCCACCTGATGACCCTCAACTGCCCTCTCCTCCTGGCCTGATCGCCCCTGACCACCTCTGCCTTGGCCCCGCCACCATGGCTTTGTCCAGAAGGACATCTGGAAGGTCTCCCAGAAGGTCTCCTGGTCTAATTAGCATATTACTCTTTTATTCGTATAGGTATTAGTGAGATAATATGATGCTTAGCTTTTTCTGCCTGACTTATTTCACTAGCACGATATTCTCAAGGCCCACCCATGTTGTCCACCCATGTTTCATCTTTTCCTATGGCTGAGTAGTATTCCATTGTGTATGTGTACCACATTTTCTTCATCCAACCCTCTATCAAAGGACACTTTGGTTGTCTCCATGTATTAGCCACTGTGAATAATGTTGCAATGAACATGGGGTGCATATTTCTTTGCTAAAACATGTTTCCAAGATTTCTGTGCAGATACCCAGGATGGGGATTGCTATATCATATGGTAAGCCTATTGTTGAATTTTTGAGGATCTGCCAGACTGTTTTCCAGAGTGGTTGTACCAGTCTATATTCCCACAAGCAGTGAAGGTGGGTTCCCTTATTTTCACAAACATTCCAAAACTAGTTATGACTTGTCTTGTTAATAGTAGCCATTCTAACAGGTGTCAAGTGGTATCTCATTGTAGGTCTGATTTGCATTTCCCTAATGACTAGTGAGGTTGAACATCTTTTCATATAGCTATTGGTCATTTGCATGTCTTCTTGGGAGAGGTATCTGTTCAGGTCCTCTGACCATTTTTTTTTTATCTTTAAATTCTTTATTAGTTAAGGTATTACAAATGTGTCCTCATCCCCCCATTAACCCCTATCCTCCCCCCCACTCATGTTCTCATCCCCCTGTTGTCCATGTCCCTTGTTTTGGTTTATATGCATGCATACAAGTCCGTTGGTTGATCTCTTCCCCTGACCCCCACCCTCCCCTACTTTCCCTCTGAGGATTAATAATCTGATCGCTGTTTCTCTGTCTTTGGATCTGTCCCTGTTCATCAGTCTATGTTGTTCTCTATATTCCACAAATGAGTGAGATCATGTGGTATTTATCTTTCTCTGACTGGCTTATTTCAGTTAGCATAATGTTCTCCAGTTCCATCCATGCTGTTGCAAAAGGCAAGAGTTCCTTCTTTATTTACCACAGTGTAGTATTCCATTGTGTAGATGTACCACATTTTTCTTTTTTTTTTGTTTTTTTGTTGGAGAAAGAATCACACTTCCAGGGGACTTGCAAAGGTAGCTTCCATTTTTAATTGCCCAGAAGGAATGTCCTTTGAGGACAATTAATTTGGGAGGGTTCATGCCGCAGGGAAACCATAATCCCCAGAGAAATGCACAGGTGCTCTGTAAACAAAGCCCAGAAACCTCCCGTGCGTCCGCCGAGGGCCCGGGTAATGCCCTCCGTGAAGCCGATTTAACCCAGGCCTGGAGCTTACACCACAGGGACCGCCAAGATGCCCACGCGAGGGCCCGAGCCACGTTCCCTCTGCCAACCCACCCTCAAGTCCTCCCTCCCCCTCCTCCCTCTTCCCGCAAGCCCCCACCCCGACCCCACCCCCTCTGCGGAGCCCGTGCGCAGCCAGGGGAGAACTACGGCCAATTTCTAGTTGATTCACAAACTCTGAAACCCAGCAAAGCTGAGCGTCCGCGCCGTCACGTCTCTAAACAAGTACGCGAGATGCTTCAGGGCAGGCGTTTGTGTCACCCTGACCGCCGCCTCCGCGGTGCCGGCACCCGGTCCCACAGCTGGTGCAGGGCCGCGCTGGCGGCGAGGACATGTCAGCCACGCGCAGCGAAAATGAACCCGGGCTCTCCCCTCCCGGGCTCCGAGCCCGGCCCCGCACCGCTGGCCTGGGCAGCCACCCGTCGGCTCCGGTTCGGACAGAGCGCCTTCCCGAGTCCCCTCCCTTCACACTCAGTCTCCCCGTGCGGAGGGGCTCCGCGCCCCGCAGCGCCCCGCAGCTCGGAGAAAGGCAGGCTCTGCAGCCGGAGCGTCCGGACTCCGGGAGCGACCGCCCGGTCCCCGAACCGCTCCAGCCTCCCTGGGAACCTGCGCCAAACGACTTGGACCCAGGCCGGGGCTCCTGGCTGCAGGGACAGGAGGGCGGGGCGCGGGGGGAGCGGGGGGCGTGCAGGGGACGCGGGGGACGCGGGGGGCGCGGGGCGCCGGCGAACCCCGCCCGGCACACTCACTGCCGGTAGGGGTCGTGGAAGGGGAGCGCCAGCCAGGCGCCGGGCAGCTGCCGCAGGAACCCTTCCATCTCCGGGGCGCTGCCGTCGGTGGACACGAGGACCACGGCCAGGGGCGCGGGCGGGCGCGCCTGCTCCACCAGCTCCGCGTAGAAGTCGCAGAGCAGCGGCGTGAAGTCGCGGCTGGGCGCGCAGCGGCCCGACGCGAAGTACAGCGCCACCACCTTGTTCTGCAGCGCCGCCTCGGCCTCCACCCAGGCGCCGCCGGGGGCCAGCAGGCGCCGCCCGCCCAGCACGTCCACCATGGCTGGCGCGGAGGGCGCGGGCGGCGCGGCGCGCAGGGGGACGGTCGCTTGCGGCGGGTGGTCGCCTCTTTTCTCCCCGCTCCGTGCGGTGACGGCGCAAGACCCTCCCGGGCATCAACACCGGCCTCGGCCGGCGACTGGGCAGCAGCTTCCGCACGGGGGAGGAGGCGGGGAAATGCAGACGCCTGCGGCTCCCGCGGCCACCGCAGCAGCTCCGAGCCGCGCCGCCGGCAGCGAGCGGCCCGCTAAGCCCTAGCCGATGTACCACATTTTTCTAATCCACTCATCTGCTGATGGGCACTTAGGCTGTTTCCAAATCTTAGCTATGGTGAATTGTGCTGCTATGAACATAGGGGTGCATATATCCTTTCTGATTGTTGTTTCTGGCTTCTTGGGATATATTCTTAGAAGTGAGATCACTGGGTCAAATGGGAGTTCCATTTTTAGTTTTTTGAGAAAGCTCCATACTGTTCTCTACAGTGGCTTCACCAGGCTGCATTCCCACCAGCAGTGCAGAAGGGTTCCTTTTTCTCCACATCCTCTCCAACACTTGTTGTTTGTTGATATGTTGATGATAGCCATTCTGACAGGTGTGAGATGATACCACATTGTTGTTTTGATTTGCATCTCTCGTATAATGTGTGATTTTGAGCATGTTCCCATATGTCTTTCGACCTTCTGTATGTCCTCTTTCAAAAAGTGTCTATCTAGGTCCCTTGCCCATTTTTTGATTGGATTGTTTATCTTCCTATTGTTAAGTTTCATGAGTTCCCTGTAAATGTTGGAGATTAAACCCTTAACGGTGGAATCATTGGCAAATATGTTTTCCCATGCAGTGGGTCTTCTTGTTGTTTTGTTGATGGTTTCCTTTGCTGCACAAAAGCTTTTTATTTTGATGTAGTCCCATTTGTTTATTTTCTCTTTAGTTTCCATTGCCCTAGGAGCATTATCAGAGAAGAAATTCCTTCAGCATATGTTTGCGGTTTTGCTGCCTGTGGATTCCTCTAGTATTTTTATGGTTTCCTGTCTTATGTTTAAGTCTTTTATTCATTTTGAGTTTATTTTTGTGTATGTTGTGAGTTGGTGGTCTAGTTTCATCTTCTTGCATGTATCTGTCCAATTTTCTCAACACCATTTGTTGAAGAGACTGTCTTGACTCCATTGTATGCTCTTGCTCCCTTTGTCGAATATTAATTGGGCTAGTGGTTTGGATCGATTTCTGGGTTCTTTATTCTATTCCATTGACCTATATGTCTGTTCTTGTGTCAGTACCAAGCTGTTTTAAGAACAGTGGCTTTGTAATACAGCTTGATATCTGGTATTGAGATCCCACCTACTTTGTTCTTCTTTCTCAGGATTGCTGCAGCTATTCGAGGTCTTTTTTTATTCCCGATGAATTTTTGGAATGTTCGTTCTAGATTTGTGAAATATGCTGTTCGTAATTTAATGGGGATTGCATTGAATCTATAGATTGCTTTGGGTAGTATGGACATTTTGATGATGCTGATTCTACCAATCCATGAACACGGTATGTTCTTCCATCTATTTATGTCTTCCTCTATCTCTTTTTTCAGTGTCCTGTAGTTTTTGGCATATAAGTCTTTTACCTCCTTAGTTAAGTTTATTCCTAGGTATTTTAATTTTTTTGGTGCAATGGTAAATGGGATTGCTTCTGTAGTTTCACTTTCTGTAAGTTCACTATTGGTGTAAAGAAATGCCATGGATTTCTTAGCATTAATTTTGTATCCTGCTACATTGCCAAATTCATTTATTAAGTCTAATAATTTTTTGATGGAGTCTTTAGGGTTCTCTATGTACAATATCATGTCATCTGTAAATAAGGACAGTTTTACTTCTTCTTTTCCAATTTGGATGCCTTTTATTTCTTCTTCCTGTCTGATCACAATGGCTAGTACTTCCAGTACTATGTTGAACAGGAGTGGTGAGAGGGGGCATCCCTATCTTGTTCCTGTTCTTAGGGGAAATGGTTTTAGTTTTTGCCCATTGATTATGATCTTGGCTGTGGGTTTGTTGTATATGGCTTTTATCATGTTGAGATATGATCCTTCTATTCCTACCCTGCTGAGAGTTTTTATCAAAAATGGGTGTTGGATTTTGTCAAATGCGTTTTCTGCATCAATTGATGTGACTATGTGGTTTTTATCTCTCAATTTGTTTATGTGATGTATCACGTTTATTGATTTGTGTATATTTACCATCCTTGCATCCCAGGATATATCCTACTTGGTCATGGTGTATGATCTTTCTGATGTACTGCTGGATCCGATTTGCTAGGATTTTGTTGAGGATTTTGGCATCTATGTTCATGATGGATATTGGCCTGTAATTCTCTTTTATTGTGTTGTGTTTCCCTGGTTTTGGTATTAGGGTGATGCTGGCTTCATAGAACGAGCTTGGAAGTTTTCCTTCCTCTTGAATGTTTTGGAATAGTCTGAGGAGGATAGGTTTTAGTTCTTCCTTGAATGTTTGGTAAAACTCCCCTGTGAAGCCATCTGGGCCTGGGCGTTTGTTTGCTGGAAGCTTTTTGATGACTGCTTCTATTTCTTCCATAGTTATTGGCCTATTGAGATTTTTAGATTCTTCCTGATTGAGTTTTGCAAGGTTGTATTTTTCTAGGAATATGTCCATTTCCTCCAGGTTGTCTAGTTTGTTGGAGTAGAGTTGTTCATAGCATTTTCTAACAATCCTTTGTATTTCTGTGGGGTCCGTTGTTATTTCTCCTCCTTCATTTCTGATTTTGTTTATTTGCGTCCTCTCTCTTTGTTTCTTGGTGAACCTGGCTAGAAGTTCATCAATCTTGTTTATCCTTTCAAAGAAACAGCTCTTGGTATTGTTGATCTTTTGAATTGTTTTTTTTTTTTTTATCTCTATGTCATTTATCTCTGCTCTGATATTTATTATTTCCTTCCTTCTGCTTACACTGGGCTTTTCTTGTTGCTCTCTTTCTAACTCTTTGAGTTGTAGGTTTAGGTGATTTATTGTCATTGATTCTTGTTTCTTGCAGTAGGCTTGTAGAGCTATGAACTTCCCTCTCAAGATTGCTTTTGCTGTGTCCCATAGGTTTTGGATTGTTCTGTTTTCACTGTTGTTTGTTGCCATGATGTTTTTTATTTCTTCTTTGATTTCTCTGGTAACCCAGTCATTGTTTAATAGAGTGCTATTTACTCTCCATTTGTTTGATTTTATTGTTTTTATTGTAGTTGATTTCCAGTTTTATGCCATTGTGATCTGAGAAGATGCTTGATATGATTTCAATCTTCTTGAATTTGAAGAGACTTTGCCTGTGACCCAATATATGGTAGATCTTTGAAAATGACCCTTGTGCACTGGAGAAGAATGTATATTCTGTGGTTTTGGGGTGAAATGTTCTGAAGAGGGCAATTAATTCCATCTGATCTAGTGAGTCATTTAGGATTGATGTTTCTTTGCTGAGTTTTTGTTTAGAGGATTTGTCCAATGGTGATAATGGGGTGTTAAAGTCCCCTACTATGATTGTATTGTTGTCACTCTGTCCCTTGATATCCTCCAGAAGATTTCTTATGTATTTGGGTGCTTTTATATTGGTTGTGTATATGTTTACCAGAGTTATTTCTTCTTGTTTGATTGTTCCCTTTAGTATTATGAAGGGCCTTCCTTATCTCTTTTTATGTCCTTCACTTTGAGATCTAATTTGTCAGATATAAGTATTGCTACCCCGGCTTTTTTTCTGTTTCCATTCGACTGAAAAACCTTTTTCCATCCCTTTACCATCAGTCTGTGTGCATCTTTTTTTCTGAGGTGGGTTTCCTGTAGACAGCAGATATATTTATAGGTCATGTTTTCTTATCCACTCAGTTACCCTATGTCTTTTGATTGGGGCATTTAATCCATTTACATTTAAAGTTATTATTGATAGATACTTGTTTGTCGCCATTTTTATTTTTTACCCCTGTGTTCCTTCTTTGTTTCCTATTTTTATTTTTACAGCAGACCCTTTAGCATTTCTTGCATTGCTGGTTTGGTGGTAATAAACTCCCATAGTCCTTTTATGTCTGTGAAGCTCCTTATTTGACCCTCAATTTTGATTGATAGCCTTGCTGGGTACAGTATTCTTGGATTCAGACCCTTCCTTTGCATGACTTTGTATATTTCATTCCATTCCCTTCTTGCCTGATGTGTTTCTCTTGGGAAATCAGTCGCTAGTCTGATGGGGGATCCTTTGTAGGTAACTTTCTGTCTCTCTCTGGTCGCTTTTAAGATTCTTGCTTTGTCATTGGTGTTTGCCAATTTAAGTATAATGTGCCTTGGCGTTGGTCTTTTGGGGTTCATTTTGTTTGGGACTCTGTGAGCTTCTTGGATTTGTGTGAGTTTTTTCTTCCCTATATCAGGGAAGTTTTCTCTCATTATTTTTTCAAACAGGTTTCCTATTCCTTGCTCAGTTTCCTCTCCTTTTGGCACCCCTATTATGTGGATGTTGTTTTGTTTTGTATTGTCCCAGAGTTCTCTTAGGCTCTCCTGCTTTTTAATCCTTTTTTTCCAGAAGCTGCTCTGCTTGCGTATTTTTTCTTACCTTGTCTTCTAGCTCACTGATGTGGCCCTCTGCTTCTTCTAGTCTACTGTTGATGCTTTCTATTGAGTTCTTTATAGCAGTGATGTCATTTTTCCATTTCTTCTTGGTTTTTCTTCATTTCCTCTTGGTTCTTACACATATTGTTGAATTTGTCTTCCATTTTTTTCATCCACCTAATGACCATTTCTCTGAAATCTTTCTCTGACAGGTTGCTTGCCTCCATTTCATTTACTTCCTTTTCTGGTGATATCTGTTTTTCTTTCATATGCAGGCTGGTTCTTTGTTTACCCATGATCTCTCTTCTCCAGGTGTTGGTTATGTAGTTCTCTCTGCTACATTGATTTAAAGGCATAAAATACAACACAACAAGGCACAACATACAAGGCACTGAACACAAATGTATTCACGATATTAATAACCCCAAATAAAGGTGACCACCTGAGCAAAGAGATTTAGGGGATAAGGAAGAAAAAAGATAAAAGACAAAAATAAAAAAAAGGAGTGCAAAAATGAAATTGGA